TTACATTCTAAAGGAAGAGCCAGATCGTCCAAAAAGAAGAAAGAAAAATCAAACCCACTAAAGAAAAAAATGTATGACATGGCAATGCGATTCAATCTGCATACTTGGAGCAGAGGCAGATAAACACATCAATGAAGCAAAGCAAAATAAAGGTCAAACAAATCCTGAGCACAGGGCACAATGTGGTACACATCTGTAATCCTAGCATTCTGGAGGCTGATGGAAGATTAAAAGTTCTGAGCTACATGGTAAACTCCTGTATCAAGAAGAATATTCCCGAGCATAAATGTTACTTTAATGTGACAGCAAAGGAATATCAAATCGGAATGTACTTTTCAATCACTGGTGCTGGGGCAACTGGCTTGTACTTGGAAAATAAAATCAACTATCTTTCATATATATTCAAAACTTAACTCAAAAAAAAAATGAAATTCCTTACAAGTTCTTTGGAATGGGAATGCACTTTTAAAAATAGAAACATTGAAAATTTTGACTCTATCAAAATTTAAAATTTCTGGATGCCATAAAAAAAAAAAAAACACTTTAAAAATGTCACAGTGTGCTAGGAATGTAGCTTAGTGTTTAGCACACACTAGGTTTGGTCAAGCGCCATAAAAATAAACAAATAATCACAAAACAGGGACAATATCTGTAACAAATCAGCACATGATACCTAGTGTCCCTGTGACACCAAAAATGGCCAAAAATGCAACTTTAAAAATGGACAAATCATGGACAGGCAATGGATGATGCTCAGATTTACCACTAATTGGAAAACTAAAATTCTAGAAGCATTCACTGAACTTGAAGCTAATGAGGGTAAGCAGACCCTCTCTCCAGTTGCCAGTGGGCTGAGGTCAACCCACAAGGTGACAACTGTGTAGCTACCATGCAACCAGAGCGTCCCAGAGCGTCCCAGTCCCCTCTTAGGGAAATGGCACGTGTGCAAAAGAAGATATTCACTACACTGTTTTGTGTAGTTGGAAAATACTCCTGTTTTTAAAAAGTTAGCTGGACATAATGGCTTATGTCTAATCCCAGCACAGGGAGGCTGAGGCAAGAGCATTGTGAGTTTAAGATCTGGTTGACAAAAGGAAATTAAGTTGTATATTCACATCAGACTCCGGCTTTAAGCCTGCCTGCATACATTAGCAATGATGGATTCTAAAAACAACACTGAAGAGTTTGTTTGTTGGTTGGCTGGTTGGTTTCAAGATAATGCTGAAACTTTGCATGAAATCGATTTTAAAAATTCACAGAACCCTTGTATATAGGATGTAAAGCTGAGACAAGACTAGAAACCTAGACAGAAAATCGCCGCCAGAGGAACTGAGCAAGGCAAGAGAGGGAAGGGGCTGAGAAGAGGGAGGGGCTAAGACTCACCCTGGAAGGTGTCCTTCACAGACTGCTGTCAGCTGGGTGGTCTCGGAGCAGGTGTGCCTACACCAATTAAAACATCTCCCAGGGTCCTTGTCACATGCCGGCCAGCACTGGCCAGCACTTTCTCACGCAGCATATGACTGTATGGATTTCCTCTGACATGAGGATGGAATGTCAGTGTGCTTATTGTGGGTAGTGGGTCCAGGGATCTTTCCTGTATCTTCTTTTGCATATTATTACCCAAACCAAACTTTGAAGGCTATATTTAATTTCGTGTAATTAAACAAAAAACAAAAAAACAGCCAGGAGTGGTGGCACACATGTTTAATCTCAGCAGGCAGAGAAACAGAGGAGGTAGATCTATGGGAGTCTGAAACCAGCCTGGCCTACACAGTGAGTTCCAGGTTCCAGTCCACCCAGGGCCACACAGTAAGATCCATCTCACAAAAAAAAAAAAAAAAAAAAAAACCCTGCCCCTTCTGCAGTAAAGCTCTCACCCCAGCTTCAGGCCTCTCACCTAGTCGCCCGCTGCGTCTCCCGTGATGCAGCGGCCACAGGAAACCTGCTCTCTCCCGCCAGTCCCTGCTCCACTGTCCTCTTTCTACTGTTGTGGTCATCACACCCTCCTCTGCCTAAACCTCACAGCGGCTCCCAATAGTCTCCAACAATCTCAAAACAAAAATGTATTAAAAAGAATAAGCTTCCGCCAAACAGTAAGGCCAAGTCCATGTAGACTCTTCAACAAACAGACACACTCGAGCCTGGACAGATGTACCAGTCTAGTTCCAGTACTCAGGCCCTGAGGGAAGCCCTCGGGACTCTGCAACCATTCCCAAGGAGCAAAGTGAAGTTCTCTAGGAAGACAAGGCAGTCTTTACCACGTGGCTGTTCTCCAAACTTCAATCCCGTCTCCTGCCAGGGTGCAAGAAGCTGAACAGGAGCTTCCACTTCTCCACACCCACATCTGGCTTTCCGGCCCTCGGCATCAAAGTCTTGCTCCAGCCCTCAACACACACCCTCCTTCCCTCCCTCTGCTCCTCTGCTTGTCCATCCTTGTCACTTCTCTCCACCCCGCCCCCCCTTCCTGCGCCCCCCTCTCCTGCACTATGGGACGTGGGTCTGGTGCATTCCAGCCAAGCTCTACTGCTGAGCTCCAGATCCACCTCTCCTGAAGCCATTTCAGGACACACATCCTTGAACTTGTCTTGTAAATGAGACCTCTGCAAACAGAAAAGCAATTCCACTCTCAGCACCCAGACAAGCAGTGGGTCAATCATCCAGGGTAACCGAGGCCCTGCACCTACCTCAACACCCCCACACCTGCTCCAACATCTTCAACTGTGCATTCTGCAAGGTTCTGCCATAAGCGTTTCAGCCAACAGTATCGCCATTCTTGGAGCTGGAGAGATGGCTCTGTGCTTGGAGCACAAACTACTCTTAGAGAGGACTTGACTCATCTCCCAGCACCCATCTCAGGTGGCTCAGAACTGCCTATAACTCCAGCTCCAGGAGACTTGATGTTCTCTTCTGGACTATGCAGGCATCTGCACACCCACATGCACAACATATCACATACACACATAAGTTACAAAATAAAATGATGAGGACAAAAAGATGGCACAGTAGTTAAGAGCATGTCCCCTCTTCCAGAGAAGCTGGGTTCAATTCCCAGCACCCATATTGTGGCTCAAAACCATCTGTGTAACTCAAGTCCCAGAAAATCCAGTGCCCTCTTCTGGCCTCTGCAGGTACTGTGCACACGCGCACACACACACACACACAGAGTACACAGATATGCCAGCAAAATATCCATATACATAAAAGTAAATAAGTAAAATTTTAAACAAGCAACTTTTTTCTAATATTACCATCTTTTTACTCCCCATTCTTTGACATTTTTATTGTCTTCTAGCTTTTGCCACTTCTCAGGTCCCAACAGCCCCCATCTAAGAGCCCACTTGTCTTTTGACAGAGAATTCCGCTAATAACAGGCCTTCAATTCCCTCTATGAATGATGACAGGTTAAGTGGCATGGCCAACTGAGTGCTGCTGAGTTTCAGATGGCAGCACAGCAAAGCAAAGGGGCCACAGCCAGTTCTTTTTTGTCTGAAGAACTTAACAAGGTTAAAAACCTAATCTCTGTTTTGAAAAACCAGAAGGCCCCATTTGTCAATTCAGCATGGAATGATCCCTCATCCTAATGAAATTCACAGTGACTGATTGCCATACAGATGTCAAAGGTCATAGACCTAACTGTGCCTCCACAAAATGAAACCCAGCCCCATTAGGACTGTATTTGGAGACAGGACTTTTATGAACATAAGTGTATTCTGAAAGATCATGAGAGCAGGGTCCTAATGCACTCAGAGCGGTGGCCTGCTAACAAGGAACACTGGTTCTCACACACATACACACAAACACATTCTCACATAGAGAAAAGGTGACATGATGGCACAATGGGGAAGGAGACAGACCCCCTGCAAGCCCAGAAAGAGACACCAGACACCAACCATGCAGCACCTTGAACTTGGACTCTGGCTTCTGCGGAAGAAGTCCCTTGTCTGTTATTTATTAGGCAGCCTTACCAGTCAAACACTCCACTTTATGGAATGTAAAATGAGGACGCAGCAAACGAACAGCCATCACCAGGGATACCCACATGTGGCATCTACACCCCCCAAACAAGCCAGAGCTGTTACTAACCAGCAGGCCCAGAACTGGAGCGTGTGGCTTAAATCTCCTCAAGGAATCTGGGGTGTACTGTCTAGTGACCTGACACTCACACTAACCACATAAAGCCCTTGGCCTTGACCCAAATACATTCTAACCAAACTCTCCTCCCGTGATGTCCAATCTGGGTCCTAGGAGCTCAGCACTAACATATGGGAAGACAGGCTTTCCCTTGGTGCTGGGTTCATTCATCTTTCCCTTGGGCAAACTGTCTCTGGGATTCAAACCAGAGAATTATACTTCTTAAGCCCAACCAGCCCTCAGAGAGACTTACATGGGCAGTAACGACCAGGAAGGATGAGCTCATACCCAATGTATAACACCTAAGTGTCTCACCCTTTGCTGGTGAAAATTTACACAAAACAGAGCACTTCTGAATGGTGAATGCAATCAATAATCTCTCATTTCCACAAAACAAGAAAGAGAGAGAGAGAGAGAGAGAGAGAGAGA